TACACCTACACCCACACCCACACCAAAACCCATGCGCACCCACACCCACACTCACACCCACACCCACACCCACACCCACACCCACACCCACACCCACACCCACACCCACACCCCACCATCCACACCCACACCCACACCCACACCCACAGAAATGTTACAAATGCTTTCCACAATTGCTTCTTTATTTCAAAACAAAATTTCATAACAAGACAATAGAACGTTCAGAAGGTATAATGATACATCATAAGTACCAAGAATGTTCATCGATAATCAGCTGACTGTTATGTTTTTCAACGGAATAAACTCTTCGAAGAAATGCACCAATAACCTGTCGTACATAATTCAAATCAATTTTTTTCCAAGATCTCATAATTTCTCGTTCTAAATCATCTTTTGTATGAGCTTTTTGATAATTAATGTTCTTATTAATACTATTCCAGATTGAATAATCTAATGGATTTAATTCTGGTGAGTTTGGAGGCCATCGATCTTTTGGAATAAACGACTATAGATGTTTTTCGCACTAGTCTTGTGAGTTTTTACTGGTATGAGAAGTTGCTCCATCTTGTTGCAAACACCAATTTTGATCTCCAAATAATCGATCACCTTCAGTCTTGTTAAATGGCAGTAATTTTGTACTATACGTTGCACCATTTAAATGTTCACCTGTTTCAAAAAGGTAAGGAGTGGTCAGTCCGTTCCATGTAGCATCCATTCCAACCATAACTGAAACAGGAAATTTTTCTTTTCTATGAATGCCATTGTCCATGTCTGCATCGGACCTACTATTCGCCCATACAACATCATTTTTCGAATTCGAATAGCCATTTCGATTAAAAATTTTTTCATCTGTAAACATCATTTTTTGTACGTGTTCACGTTTAAACTTCTTTCTAATCCATGAACAGCATCGCTTTCGAAGTGACTGTTGGTAATCTTGAAGCTTCTGAACAGTTGTTCTTCGGTAACATCTTTTGTTTAAATCTTCCTTCAGTACCCTTTCGATGGTTGACCGGCTGCTGTGAAAATCTGCTGACATTGTTCGTAAACTTTTTCTGCTATTGTTTGATGCAAGTCGTTTTTTAACCAAATTAAGTAACCGTTTCGTTCTTCCACTTCTTTTTCTGTCCATTGATTTTCCTGCCGAAAATGAACCAGTTTGACCACATTGCCGTATCCAACGAAGAACTGTAGTACGATAAACTTTATTTGCGAATAAAACTGCAATTTCTGTTGCTGTTTTTCAGTTTTTATAATGTAATAGCAATATCACGTAAATCTGCACTTTTAACCATTTTTAAAATTTAGACCAAACTTTATTTCTTTCTTCCTTTTTTGTTGAAAAACACACCAAATAACGAAACACACACGTTTCTGTATTATGCATAGAGGGCCGATAGACATCAGAGAAGACAAAAAAAAAGAAAGAAAAGAGAGAAGAACAAAGAGAACAGAAGACACGAACGAGAAGAGGATAGACATGGACAAAAATATGTACTAGTGTTGTCAACACAGATCATAAAAACCACTTAGAACAAAATCATGAGAGAAAGTCAGTAGAAATTTCGTTATATAGACTTTGTAGAGCTTTTAATGGCACATCTTTTAACAAAAAACTCATGATTTTATCATTTATCCACGTTGAGATATACACAAAATAAAAAACACTTTTCTTATGCTAATATGATGGGAAGTAGCACTAAAATGTAGTGTTTCATTTTGGCTATAGAAAAATTCACCAGAACATGTTAGTAGGAATCTGATTCAGCATTTTTTGTAGAGCTTTTAACGGCGCATCTTTTGAAAAAAGAATCAAGATTTTATCATTTGCCCATACTGAGATATATGCACAATAAAAAGTCTGCAAACATTTTGGGACACCCGGTAATTAAGCAAATGGCTCAATCATATTGTTTTGCTTTTTACCAAAGAACACAGAAATTATTAGAAAGACTACGCAAAATTCTTGCCGAAAGTCTCACTGATGGTACTTTTCTTTGGCACAAAGCTTTAGATGTATGCTGTTTTGCCCAAACATTTAGACGAAGTCCAGTCTATTTTGCTGGTTTTCTTTTAGATGTCTGTAAAAACCTTTTTGTAATCTTATGTGTCTATGTTTGTAGGTATGAATGTCAGCATTCTCCATACCTTAACTTACACAACTTGTCTGAAGATTGTATGTTGCTTGTATTTGATAGAAACCTTTGGTCAGAAAATGTCAAATTTCTCTGATATTATCATATGATCATATTCAAACTTGAAAATATAAATCTCAAGATACTTTCAACGGATTTTGAAAATAGTTATTGATGAACTACAACTTTGCTTTGTTTAGATCCAATTTGACCAACTAGGATACTCTTGCCAATTATTTAATTATAACAGAATGAGGGCTTCATAATATATCTGCATGAATTTTTCTGCAATAGTCTCGGATTCTACTATTCATTATTAACAATTTTATATATGTTTCTCATGCTAAAGTAAACATCTGCATTAAGCCGATTATCTGGAAGAGTAACTTACATTGTTCGTTTTAAGTGCATCAACCAAATGTTGCGCTCCGTTGTCCGTGATTTTATTAGTAAAAAACTTCATGACCTTGAGTGCATATGATGAAAAATTAAGGAAATTATAGAAGCTGGATAGCGAGAATCTCTAACATCTTTTAATATGTAATAACACTCAAAATATCATTATGAAATTAGATTACTTCTTTCGTGTTTTAAATTTATGTGTAGCTTAACGCACATTGTTGGAAAAGGCCTTAGTCCAAAAAAAAAAGGTGAGTTTATATGCTCTTCGGCCCTTGTTAGCTGTGAATTCTCTGATTGTAGATGAACTTGAGAGAAAGTTTTTGAATGTTGAAATAAACTATGACATTGGAGTGTTCCTCATATTTCACTGTGCAATTCGATGTGACATTCTAACCATGCTTCTTAGAATTTTGTGCGAATTGTTACAATCAAATAGAAAAAGAATCAATCTACTTAAAAAATAAACACTACTAGTTCTTGATTAAATTCTATCCTAAAAGCTTGGTCTCGTATCGAAATCTTCTTTCTAATTTTGAATTCAAGTCTAATAAAACTCTAAATAAACAATAGACATACGAATTACAAGTAGTTTTCTCAACACTTAAAATAAAACATATAGTTGGTAAAATTCAATTAATAGTTATTGATGTAAACTACGTCAGAGACACATGCACTCTATAGTTGAACAGGAGCGATGTGAAATATAATATATTTGCACTTGTCTTGTTCATATTACATTTGATATGTATTAATATTAAAAATTTAATGTTCCAATTTTATTTAAGAATGAATAAAAACTCTTTAAACAAAAATATTTCTCAAGATAATGTAAATAGAATTGAAAACTTTTATAAAATTTTCATATTCTTCTATCAAAAAATTTCTTGCTGGATTCTTGATATACAAATGGGATTGAAAATAGAACAGGCTTGTATCTAACGATTATATTGAGAAAAGCACAAATATATATTCGTTTAAAAGATATCACTGAAAATGGAACAGATAATATCTTATATTTACAAAGTGTTTAGGACCTACATGAATTATGTAATTATAACTCGGAATGCTTATCTGAATGGAACGTATTTTAGTATAAATGCAATAGAAATCTTTGAAATGAATTGTAATAGAAATTTCTTCATATGTATAGGACTCGTTTGCCAATATTTTTATAGAAAAAATCAGGAAAATAAAAGTTAAGACAAGTGACTTGGAAACTAAGTCTAAACTTCTCTAATTATGTTTTCAGTCAATTAAAAAATTACAAGCTTCATTGTAAGCTACTCTGTCTTAATCAAAAATACTTCATTTTCAGATTTTCTTTTAAAAATCTTTTTTAATTATTTTTTTGAATTGATATTCAACCAAAGACGGTCTCTTTTTCCAGCTTCTCTTAGAATCTTAGTTGCCGGATCCAAACATTTAGATAGATCGAAATGAAATGGTACAATTTTTGCC